GCGCCGACACGCTCCGTATCGATCACTCTTCCACCCTGCGAAAGGCTAATGCCGCATCAGACGAGATGCTCCCTGCGACAATACCAGCAGCAACACCAACGGAGCCTTTCGAGTGCACCTCGGCAAAGACGACAGCCTCGTCATTCACAAGAGCAACTTCAGGGACACGGAACGAATCCGTTGCCGCATTAACGCCATCTTTGTCTCTCAAACCAATGGCCACATTCGCAAACAACTGCCATTTGGGTAACAGATAACCCGGCTCCCACTTTCATCGTCCTCAGCGTATGCACCTTCACTGCTGCAGCACATCAACAACACAACGAGGAGCAGCAGCACCGCAGGAAAAAAACAAATACCGGGACATCTTCAGCATGTGTCGCTCTCTCTCTCTATCTCTCTCTTCCTTCCCTCCTTGTGGAGAATCCACTCAGGCCGCAACAGTTGTGTGTGTGTGTTGCTGATGGTGACCGCAGAGCCCTCAAAAGTGCACAGCAGCGAGCAGCATTCGGTCTCTTTCCATCTAAGTGTGCGGGAAGAAGCCAAAAGGTGGAAAGAAGGCAAATAAGGAAAAAAAAAGCCCTAAACTATGGCCCCCGCCCACGACCACAGTTGGGCTTACACATCGTCGTCATCACCCCGCAGCACTTCCCGCCGCAGCTCTCTCACACACACGGAGATGAGGACGAGAGGGGCTGAGAACATCGCGACTGCCGCAAGCAGAGGAAACCACCGCGGCGACTTCGGCTGCCACGCTACAACACACACCGAGCAGCCCCGCTGCGACTCTTTATGTGGGGGGTCATGTGTGTATCGATGTTTCTCTTGTTTGGTTGCATGCTGAAGACACTTTTTTTTTTGTTTTGTTTCCTCGTTCGTGTAGAATAAGAGGACGGAGTAGAAGCGACGCCGCGACCATCGTGAAGGAGCTTACCCCCATCGCTCAGCGGAGTGGTGTAAGAATGACCGGCCACATCGGACTTCCCTCTCGCTTATATGCAGTCGCATGGATGCAGCTAAAAACAAAAATAACAAACCGCGTGCCACTTCGCGCCCCCGCTATACTACATAGCGGATACAAGCCCTTTAACCACCTGAGGCACTGCGCATCGCTACAATAAGACAGCAACGGCATGTTCCGCCCAGGATAGGATGCCATAAAACAACCATAAAAGGGGGAAAAATAACCACCCTTCCACAATAGCCGGATGACGGTAGCCATCCATGGAGGCACTTCTAATAGGACTGTACTTGTTAAATTTGGCATCACCCGCAAAGTTTGCCTGGGAAGTCCGCCCCGTTTTTGCAGTGAATGCAGGCAAACATAGCTGGGATTGCAGCTTGCTTATAAACATTTGTTTGTGTGCGTATGTCCGCAAGCTAGCAGCATGTGCCATGTGTTGGTTGGCCGGCTGTTTGGTCGAAGTTGATTCCAGAGGAATAATCCCTGCCTTTCGTCCGAATCTTGTCGTATACACACCGTGCAAGCTCGTCAAACGCCTGCTCAACGCCCGCACGCGTCTTTGCGGAGGTAAAGGCCAGCAGCATCTTGTGTCGCTGTGCCAGCTTCTGCGCCTGCTCCTTCGGCACGGACATGAACGGTGCGTCCTCCCCCACGCCGGAGACGCCTTCGACACACTTGTCAATCTTGTTGCCAATGAGCAGATACACAGCGCCGTCTTCATCGTCATCGCCGCTGCGGCAGAAGGCGTCGGCCTCCTCCATCCAGCGCTGAAGGCCATGAAACGTCTGCGGCTCGTTCACGTCGTACACCAAGGCAACGGCGTTGGCACCGCGATAGTACGAGCTGGTTAGAGTGCGAAACCGCTCCTGACCGGCGGTGTCCCAGAGGTGGAGATTGACGTGCCTGCGTACCCCATCGGAATCGACGACCTCCACCGTCTTCACTTTGAAGTCAATCCCAATCGTAGAGCCGATGTCGGGGTTGAAGACCCCTGCGGCAAAGGAGAACATAAGCGAGGACTTCCCCACGCCACTGTCCCCGAGTAGGAGGACCTTGATGCTTGCATCCGCGGCCTGTGACATCTACGCGATGCAGCCAAATACCTACGCCCCTAATACTCCTCTCTGCTGCTCTGCCGATGAGTATTGCTTCAACGCCACGCAGGCCGAACAGCAGCAACAACAAGAACAAAAATAATAATTAAAAAAGCATGCCATTGGTTCAAACGACAGTGCTTGACGTCTGCCTCATCCCCACAGGGAATGGAGAGCGGGGGTATTTAAGCCCCTCCTCCCTACACACGCACACACACGCTCTCGGGTTCACTGGACATCCACCCTGCGCAGGCGCACTCCGCTCCCTCCACAGCTACCCGTGCCATCTGAGAGGAAAAGGAACACAAGACAAATGTTATGGGATAAAACCGAATACAGGTCCTCTATCTTTCTTTGCCCCCACCCTCCAACACGGCAAAAACAACAACAACAAACGCCGCCCGCATGATCCCAGCGGCATCGCCGTGTGTGAAGGGCAATATAAAAAGAAAGATAAATACAACACCCATATACCCATATATATATATGTATGGGTATATATCGTGCTCCTGCCACTGTCTGTTGTACGGTAAATACATTTGCGCGTGTATATGTGTGTGCGTGCATGCATGCGGAAATGATCCGGATAACGAAACTCAAAACTTCTCGTCAGAAGTCGCAACGTTAACACACACGCACGCGCGTCCTTGTGCCCAATGCAAGAGCTGGCACAATCGGGAGGCATGATATTATACATTTGTCATATTGTGGCAAAATTAAGTTTTTTTTTTGTTTTTGTTTCTCCTTTCGTATATGTTCTTTAAATTTTGTGTATTTGCCTATACATTTTTTCTTCATCTCTGGTTCCCTCCATTTTTTTTTTTTGATTTTCCCCTCGCTTTGCTTCTATGCATCGTGTTGGGTATGAAGCATTCCCTGAGGCATGCGTCTCCCCCCCCACCCTCCCCGCAGTGCGAGCAAAACACACACGCATTCAAAAGCAAAGCCAAGCCACATAAAAAAAAACAACAAAAAACAACAACAGCAACAACAAAAGCGCGAGCGAACACCGAGTGCAACAAGACGTGTGGACAGGCACGCTTGCCGCCTTTTCCCCCTCCTCTTAGCAATCGCATTTTTTTAAAATGCATGTGGCAGAAAAACACGTCCTGGCGTATCAAAAGGGACGCCCTTGCTTTACTGTGCCGTCGAAGGAGGAACCATCGATGAGCATCGTGACGCGTCTATCGGAGTCCGTCGTGTGGGAAGAAGAGGACTTCCCTCTTGCGTCCAAGATACGGCCGCGGCGGTACTGGGCAGAGGGTCCACGTACAAGATCTGATAACGGGAGCGGGCGTGTCGGGATCCACAGGGCCTCCGTTCCCCCGTGCACCATGTCCTGCGTGGCGCTGTCACGGGACCGCTTCAGCAGGTCATGCTCTGCAGCGACCGCCATTCTGTTCTTTTCAAGCGAGGCCTTAAAGCGGCGAAGGTCCTGCTCGTATTGCAGCAAGAAGGTTCCTATGGAATCCAACGTGTAGCCCTTATACTTCCCAGTCTTTAGCGGGACGTCCTCGTCCTCATCTTCCTCCTCGCCGTCCTCGCCGGTGTCGCTCAGGGGCAGCTTAAATCTTTGGGCGATGGGAGATGTCATCTTTGAGTGAATCCGGTCCTCCTTTGCCTCCAACTCCTGCAGATGCCTAAGTGTGGGCATAGACTCCTGCTCCTTCGCAAGCACCTTCCGCGAGGCCCGCCGCAGCTGGCTGTGATGAAACATAAAGTCGTCAATGAGTTGATGGCGGTTGTCATCCTCCTCCGTCTCCAACTCTGCAATCGTCTGGACGGTCGACTCCGTCGTAAGGGAGAGCAGTGAGTTTTTGGCCTCGTCAATCTGCTGCCGCTCCGACCTCTCCTCATCGCCAATGGCGCTCCGCGCGCATAACTCCATTCGGAGCGTATCCGCAAAGGCGTTCTTGTACTCCTGCACCTTGCGGTTGAGGAGGCGGTTTGCCAAACGCCGTCGAATTCTATAGGCAAATACGACGCTTTTAATTAACTGCTGAGCGTCCTGCCTGCGCTGTGTTTGTTGGACCTCCCTCTCCACCACCTCACGTTCTTCCTGCGCAGTGAGGGCCTCCTCCGCCGCCTTGCGGGTCTCCACCTGCAGCGCTCCAAACTCAGACCCTTCGGTGCCTCCAATAGACTTACGCGCCTCCTCCTCCGACTCAACAAGCACAACAATAGACTGCTGCAAGACGAGAGACGCGGCTTGCTGTCGACCCAGAGAAACTCTATCCTCCTCCTCATCAGCAACAATCTCGTCACGACGCGCCATTTCATCACCCAGAACCAAACACACATTTTCAGCCATTTTCTCTTTACGCCTCAACGCAATCTCTTCTTCCTCCGCCTCAAGCAGGGCATTCCCACGGGCGTTGACTTCCTCCTCCACAAGCTTAGCCCGCTCCGCCCTTTCGGTACCCTTAACAGCCTGCAGCATCTCCAGTGCATTCAACAGTTTGTGCTGATCATTGAAAATGCCTTCGTTGCTGTCCAGCATATGTTCAGCCTCTGCTATAATTTCTTGCCGTAAGAGCATCTCATCCCCAATTAGTTTCATAATCTCTAATGACGCGTACCCCTCCTCTTCGGTGGCCACAATGGCGGTTCGCTCATGACCCTCCGCTTCGCATAATTCCTTCATCGCACTCGTGAGGGTGACAGAATTCTTTTCCACCATGACTGTGTCGTAGAGAGCCTCTCTCTCTTCATTTTCTACGCGGTGTAGGTGCTCTCTATCCTGTGCCTCCTCCTCGCACAGACCTTCCCACAACCGCCGTGCTGCTGCTTCAGACTCTTCGGCCTCAAGCTTTGCCACAATAGTGGCATGTTCGCGTGCCAATGCCTCGACCGATTGAGTCATGTCAAACTCTACAAGTTGTCTTAAGTGGTCCTCCATCAGCTGCAACTGCTCCACATGCAGTGCAGCTCGTTCCTCCCCCTCTGCATGCTGTAGCTGAGCCCTTTCACTGAATTCTGAGTTAACCACCTCATCGACGACAGCAGCCATCATCTGATCCCGGCAAATGGATGCCTCCACAGCGGCTTTTTCACTCGTGAGACACGCCAGTGCGGCCTCGTATTCCTTCTCCACTGCGTCCCGGGCGAGCGCCTCACGCTCCACTAAGGAAAGCAGCAGCTGCGCATATGAGGTACTCTGCTCCTCCTTCTTTAACACATCCCGCGCCGCTTCCTCGCACTTGTCAAGGACGCCCAAGTAGTGTTCCACGTGCTCCAGTGCCTCATCCCGCTCAACCATCTTCCGCCCAGCCGCCTCCTCAGCATCCAACGCATCCGCGGAAAGAACCTCTTGAGCTGTGATGGGCGCACCATGCGCTGCTCCATCACTCCCCACACTGCGTACCGCTCCCCCTTCCACTACCTCGACATCATCAACATTAGCCACTGATGTTCTCCCCTCATCACCAGCCTCCACATCTGCGGTGGCGGCGGCCGCCGCCACGCCTCGTGCCCTCCGATGCCGCCCTACACTACGTTTCATGCGCACCTCAAATGTAACAACCTCCGATTCCTGGCAAACCTCAATCTTATTCTCATCAAGCGACACAGGCAGCAACGAAACACGGCGTAAACTGTTCTTATCAGTCGATGCAACAGACCTTGAAACATCTGAGGCGGCACCCAACATAGATGATCTACGGCGCAACAGTCTCGACAACCCATTATCAGCCTCCACAGTAACAGGAACCTCCAAACGCAATGGAAATAACGTTTGCAGCCTCGCCTGCTCGGCTGCCTCACTCGCCTCAGCTGCGTGCAACGCCTCCGCCACGGCTCTACCTCGAGCATCCATTGCATCCTCCAGCTCGCGGAGTGCCTCAGCGTTCCCCTGCGGGTCTTTGCTCAGTTCGTCGTAACGGTTACGCAGCTGCTGAAACTCCACGTCACGCAGTAGCGCGTCGGACCAGCCAGGGACATCGTGGGTTGCAAGAAATGGGTACATTGCCAACTGCAACTCCTTCTCGCACTCGCCCAGCGCCAGCTCATCTGCACGCGACCGAAGCGCGCCTTCCAGCCCCGCTATTTGCGCCGCATTTGTCTCAGCGTCTGTCAGCGCAGCCAGATGCTCCCGAAACAAGCCCTGGTACATGACGTCGCCGGCAAGCGGTATCTCACTCAAGGGGACACACTTGCGGTCCTCGTACACAAGAAACGGGTTGCGGGCGCGCACATGCTCGTTCGCTCTCATACGGTGTGCCTTCACGAGCTTCGCTGTGAGGGCCAGCTCCTCCACGCGCTTCGCCATCTCCTCTTCCGTGTGCTGAACATCTTTCACATTCGATGAGTATTTAAGCTGCCGCGTACGGCGCCGT